GAGTTTAGAGCAAATCTAGACATGTTATTCTACTGCAGTTTAACCTACTACAACCCTAACGCTTTTCACTAATCATATAAATTAATGAAGCATTGTGAACTAAAAGGTGAATCTTCTGTGTTGCGTAGTACGTTGTGTTGATTACTTTTGTGCCCCTTTCTGTAGTCATTTTATTTGGACTTACAAGTTTCCTTACTTGTCATACGAAAAATCTTGGTATTTTTTCATTCATCAATCTAGGATTCGTCCTAATAAACTCGATTTTTGCATCATATGTGGTATCCTAATTCATTATTCTTTCTAGTGTAACAATGTGTATGTCAATAACGGATTCACAAAAAAGAGAATGCTCCTCACACTCAGGGAGTTGCTCTGATGCTACCCAAAAAGCACGTAAAAAATTTACAGGATGGGAATCTCATGGATCCAGAATCATCAAAGCATCCTTCAGAACAAAGAAGGAGAGAATCACAACGAATGTTATCCAATGTCATGCACCCACCAACGATAACAATGACGACGATAAATATCAGTTTTATGAGAGGCTGCAACTAATTATAGCGAAGTGTTTAAGAAACGACCTGACCATCCTGATGAGATACCTAAACGCCAAAGTTGGAATGGACAACGGATATGAAAATATTATGGGACGACATGGAATGACTAAGAGAAAGGAACGAGAATGGTGAGATATTTGCAAATTTATGTGCATTCAACAAAATAGTTATAGACGGGACTATGTTCCCTCACAAACGCACACACAAAACTCCTTGGTTCTCACCTGATCACACCACAGACAACCAGATGGATCATATTCGCACTAGTAAAAAATTCATTAGGTCAATCGGAGACGTGAGAAGTAGGAGGGGAACTGATATAGCTTCAAATCACCACCTGGTTGTGGCCAAGATGAAATTGAAGCTAATGAAGCACTGGAAAACTGGGGAAACAGAAGTACAAAGGTTCAATACAGCTTTCCTTCGAGATACTGACAAACTCAATGAATGCAAAATAACTTTCAACAACAGCTTACAAGTCTTGCAGGATCTACTGAAAGAAGAAGAAACTACTATGGAGGATAACAGAAGAAATTAAAGAATCACTAACTTCAACATGTTAGGAGGTGGTGGGCCGCAAGATCCACCTTCATAAGAAGTGGATCTCTATTGAAATCTTGGGTAAGATTCAAGAAAGGAAGAAGAACGGGAAGATAGTAATTAACAACAGTCGAACAAGAACAGAGAACGTCAAGGTACAAGCTGAATACGCATTAGGAAGCAAGAGAGTGAAGAGGAGTGTTAGAACTGAAAAGCAGGAATCTGTGAAAGTCCTAGCAACGACAGTGGAAAAAGCTGCAAGACAAGGAAATATGAATAAACTGTATGACGCGACGAAGAAACTGATAGGAAAATATAGTAAACCAGAGAGACCGGTCAATAACAAAGAAGGCAAAACAACCCCTGAAATTCAACGACAGAGGAACAAATGGGTAGAATACTTTGAGGAGCTCTTGAATAGGCCAGTTCCATCGAATCAACCGGACACCGAAGCAGCATTTACAGACCTTCCTATAGATGCCACTCCACCAACGATCAAAGAAATCAGGATGGCCATCAGACAAATCAGGAGTGGGAAAGCAGTAAGACCTAAGAATATACCAGCTGAAGCACTGAAGTTAGTTATAGAAGTAATTACAAACATTCTCCACATTCCATTTACGAAGATTTAGGAAGAAAAAGTGTCGATAGAATGTAAAGAAGGTTACCTCGTCAAGGTACCAAAGAAAGTAGATCTGAGAAAGTGGGAAGTACAGAGGCACAGACTATTATCGGTACCAGGAAAAATTTTCAACACTGTTGCTGAACCGGATGAAATATTCAATAGGCGTCCAGCTTGAAGATCAACAAGCTGAATTTTGTACGAATCAGTTGTGCATAGACCAAATCGTGACACTACGGGTCATTGTTAAACAATCAGTGTAGTGGAACTCATCACTATACATCAACTGCCTTGATTATGAGAAAGCATTTGACAGTGTGAACATTATGGAAACTTCTTCGACACTATGGTATAAAATTGTCAATATCATCCGAAATCCATATGATGGACTACACTGCAAAGTAGTGCATGGAGGACAGCTGACAGACGCATTTCAAAGTGAAGAGCGGAGTCGGACGAGGCTACTTTCTCTCCCCCTTTCTTTGTTCCTCTGGTGGTCGACTGGATTATAAAGAACTCTACATGTGAGGGGAAGCATGGAATACAATGGACAGCTTGGATGCAATTAGACGATTTGGACTTCACAGATGCCCTGACCTATCTGTCTTATGCACAACAACAAATGCAGGTCAAAACAAACGGTGTAGCAGCTGTCTCTGCATCAGTATGCCTCAATATACACAAAGGAAGAAGTAAAATCATAAAATACAGCACGGAGAAAGCCAACGCAGTCACACTTGATGGCGAGACTCTGGAAGAGGTAGAAACTTTAACGTACCTGGGAAGAATCATCGTTGAACGTGGAACATCTGATGCAGACGTAAAGGCGAGAATTGGAAAAGCAAGGACAGCATTCCTAAAGTTGAAGAACATATGGAACTCAGGCCCACCGTCAACCAATATCTTGATTACAAACGTCAATACAGTCCTACTGTACGGAGCTGAAGCTTAGAGAACCACTACAATCATCATCAAAAGATTACAAGTATTTATAATCAATTATCTACACAAGATACTGATTGTCCGTTGACCGGATATCATCAGCAACAGTCTACTGTGGGAGAGAAGAAACCAATTTCCAGGTGAGGAGGAAATTAAGAAAAAGCTTTGGAAATGGATAGGTTGTGCATTATTGAAATCATCAAACTGTATCACGAGGCATGCGTAAACTTGGAATTCTGAAGGGAAACGGGAAAGAGGAAGGCCGAAGAACCCACTGCGTCGAGGATTGAAAGCAGACATCGAAAGGATGAATAGCAACTGTAGTAGATTGCCCAGGACGGAGTTGGGTAAAAAATGCTAGTGACCGCCATTTGCTCCTCCACGAGGGGTCAAAGGCGCAAGTAAGTAATATCAGTAAGAATATTGTTACTATTATTTATATATATATATGGAAACAACCACGGATCATGAAGGCGCTAAAATGTTGGATCAAGGGAATTTTAAAAACGAGTTGAAAATGAAAATTTATTCTTTGTTCTCGTCTCTATCATAATTTCAAAAATTCTTGGGATTTTCTAAAAAGAATGTAATATTCAGTTCAGTTTGAAATCAGTCTAAATGGATTCAGCTTATTAAATCATTTAATCGAGATCAATTCATGAGATGGTCACAGACCAACAGAGAATGAAAAAATATTTGCAGATAATAGAACCTACCTAGATAACCGGTCTAAAAAGTAGTCATCGGAACAGAATGATTTACCGTTGGTGGATTACTTTTGAGAAAACCTAATTCTATTTACAGGGTGGTATATTAATGTTATTCAACTCAGAGAACACAATACTACTAGGAAAACGCATCAGAAACCAGAAACATGCTGTCGATATTATAGTAGCTCACTTTCATAGAGTTGGATCCAGGATGGTCTCTTCTGAAACTATAATGACAATGTTATTCATGGTCATAAGAATACGAATGAATAATTATTGCTGTATATATATATATATACGTTCTCTGTCCTTATTCACTTCCCTTCGACTCTTTTGTGTTTTGTTTTATACTACTTACTAATATTCAGTAAGTAGTTTTTTTCCTAGCAATTTCTAAGCTTACGTTGTAACGCAAGTTTGTCATGTAATATTTTGTAAAATTTACATTTAATTATAACATTTATCATTATAATTGATTTATCTCAAGCACTGCAGCAGTTATTCACAATTTTGTATAATTGTTTATACCTTGTTTAAAGGAAACAGTTTCCATATTTTTTTGTTCTTGGTTCAATTTTTGCTTGCTGATAAACTGTTACCAAGTTTGAACATAACTAACAGCTATTATTTCCACTATCCGTATGTTGTAATTATTCTTCATGTTATTATTGCAGGAAGCAACTTTGAGTTCAGGTTTACAGACGCGGTAAACGCTATAGATATCTTAAAAGTTGATGTTTGTAACTCCGCCTGGAGTTCCTCTGTAGCTACTGCCCGACCCAAACCCGGATAAAACAGCAGGTTGAGTATAAGGTTAGCAACCCCATCCTGTAGAAAACTAACACGTTAAGAAAACGCTAACCAGGAAACAAAATAATTCAAACCATTATATATATGTATATGAAATAGACAATTGACTTTTAAACACATTTCTAATGATGATAAATTTATAAATATTTTTGAGTAAATAAATATTATGTTGTTTAAATAGGAATAACTGACACACACACATACAGACGATGATAAAATAAGATGAGTATTATCATGAATAAAGGATATGATTTCAATTTGTTCATTTTTCTTTCCTGTGAACCATAAAGTTTTACAGATAGTGATAGTGGTGGTGGTGTGTGTGTGTGTTTTGTTGTTGTTGTTGTTGTTGGGGGGGTACTTGTCAAAATGATGTCAGAAAAGAAAAAGGAATTTCAAAATAAATAATTCTCTATTAAGATTTTTCATGCAAATATTTAATATCAGATATGAAATTGATTATAATATATATCTAGTGAAAATTCTTTAAATGAATCAACGATGATATCCATATGAAGAAAAAAGAGAAGAATTTGATTCGATGTCTTTATGTTGTTGTTGTAATTATGCATATCGCATAATCCTAATGTTGGTCAAATATTCTATATTAAGAGGATCATTAAATTGTTAATATTTCTACCATATTTGTAAAATAGCTAATTTCAATGTTTTGAAGTAATTTACATTTGTGAATGTTCATGCATGTTCAAATAGTGAAGAAAGCTAATCGTATGATTTATTGATTATTAGCTAGTTTGATATATATATATATTTTAATTGAAAATATACTAAATTATTTAATGAATCCATAGAATTGTGTTAAAAAATTGTTGTATTATGTAATGATGTTGATTTATTTTGTAATTGTGAAGAATCTGAAACAGAAAATTTAAGTAGTTAAAGTTTAACTACTTGTAAGTAGTCAAATGTGTAATACAAAATTATTGGGCTCCATATACATTAGAAATTATATGTATTTGTAATATTCCAATAAGTAGAAAAATGAGATTTTCTGATGTTTGATGATTCAGTATAAATCACTTCTTCAGAGAATAAATAGCCAAATCTGCTCAGTATTTAATTTATTGGAAATTATCAAATCAAACCTTGGTAATGATATATATTGTGGTCTTTAGTTCTTTACGTTGTCTGATATAAATCTACTTATTTGTGTAATTCATTAATTTCTGTTGAAAATTTGTTGAAGACTATAAAATTCCACAAAAACCACGTCTGATATGAATCAGCATATGTTTACTAGTGACTGGCTTCAAGAGGTATTTACTAGAGTTCTAGTGAGAAGGAGTGAAGTTCAACCGGGTGTGATGTGAGATAGTAACTCACTGAAGACAATGATGGATGTATCGCTCAATTTAGTGGATTAGTTGAAGTTAGACATTAACACCGTTGGATGTCGCCCAGCTCAGTGGTCTAATGGTTAATGGTCCTGGGTTCGAATCTCGCGAGTCGGGATTGCCTATGCGCACTGCTGAGGAGTCCCACAATTGGACGAAACGGTCGTCTAGTTCTCCCAGGTTTTCCATGGTGGTCCAGCTTGAAATGACTCATGATCTCGACTCTTGAAATTACTACAATATCCAGCAAACCCCTTCTCATATGGATCAAGATATTGCCGTTAAACGAATCCGTTTTAAATTGATTCTTTTTTATTTCTATACTGATAAGATTTAATTGAAGAATGTTATAATTCAAACTGTGAATAACCAGACGAAAAAGTGGTTAAGCATAGCATTTCATTTCATTTTGATATGATTATATTATTTAGTTTCATTCAAACTAAGGAAGAATTAGTCATATTGTTAGACATGGGATTTTTGAAAAACACATAAAGATTGGTACAAGGGAGCACCAAATATGTATTCACTACGTAAATCACTCGATTTTTGTGATGGATGAAGTACTTCTCGGGTGCCCAAACTGAAACAGATTATTTTCTTAGGAGGTCAAACACTGTGTCTTTGACTTATAGGTCTGATCCACAAAGCAATGGAGCAATGTCAGGATATGCATTCACATGTTAGCCGATGACTAATAATACGTTCATATGCCATTTATTCCTTCAAGATCCTGAAGTCCGTATGCACCATTGATTTGAGGTCAGGGTTTTCCAACTCTCCTAGATGGACTCTCCGTGTCCACAAACCCATTAAAAGCTTACTTAGTTACTTACGCCTGTTACTCTTCGTGAAGGAGGATAAGCCGCTCACCAGCATTCTCCATTGAACTCCGTCCTGGGCGATCCTTTCCAGCTCTTTCCAGTTCTTATTCATCCTTTTCGTATCTGCTTCTATTTCTCGATGTAATGTGTTCTTTGATCTTCCTCTTTTCCGCTTCCTTTCAGGATTCCAAGTTAGGGCATATCTCGTCAGACAGTTTGATGATTTGCGTAATGTATGTCCTATTCATTTCCATCGTCTTTTCTTAATTTCCTCTTCAGCTGAAAGTTGGTTTGTTCTCTTCCAGAGTAGGCCGTTGCTGATGGTATTCGGACAATGGATGTTGAGTATCTTGCGTAGTTAGTTGTTTATAAATACTTGTGCCTTCTGGGTGATGGCTTTCATAGTTCTCCAAGTTTCAGTTCCGTACAGTAGAACTATCTTGACATTCGTATTGAAGATTCTCACTTTGATATTGGTTGAAAGTTGTTTTGAGTTCCATATGTTCTTCAATTGTAGGAATGTGACCCTTGCCTTTCCAATCTTCGCCTTTACGTCTGCATCTGATCATCCTTGTTCATCGACGATGCTTCCTAGGTACATGAAGGATTCTTCCAGAGTTTCGCTATCAATCGTGATTGGATTAGTGTTCTCCATGTTGTATTTGAGGAGATCAGTTAAATCACCGAACATATATCACATATAAATGTTAGTAGTAAAAGTTTAAATAACTTAAAAATATTTACATTTCGAAATACGAATACTTTTTTTTGTTTCTGTATTAAAAAAGATGAAAACCAAATAAACGAACCCAGATCATACATGATTTATATCGTTTGTAAAAATTTGTCAAATGTATGTTATTTAAAATAGAATAAATAGTTAATCATTTATTATGATAAAAAAGAATGTCAACTTTTAAGCAATTAGTTGTTCTTGTTACCATAGCAACAGAGATGAATGAAGAAATATTTCCATAAAACTAATTTGTCATTAAAATAAAAGAAGAGAGGGGTATTGTGTGTTTATAATATTTTTCATAGAAAAAGATTAGGACAATTATGTGTATGTGTATGTGTGTGTGTGTGTGTTTTTTTTTTTTCCTCTGATGAACTTTTAAATTTAGTTAGACATTTAATTTATTTGTCCTATTATTAGGATAGATGGACGAGAAATGAAGATAGACAATGAGAAGAATATCAGATAGGTTTTGTGGATATGATAGTAATTTCAATGGTTAAGATCATGAATCAGTTGAAGCTAGACCACCATGGTTAAGTGCTCGCTCGCGAAATCAGTAGGTCCTGGGTTTGAATCTCGCAGGGGGCGAGGTCGTGGATGCGCACTGCTGAGGAGTCCCGCACCAGGACGAAACGGTCGTCCAGTTCTTCCAGGTTTCCCATGGTGGTCTAGCTTCAACTGACTCATGATCTTAACCATTGAAATGAGAAGAATAAACAAACATTGAATAGAAGTAGAAAATGTAAGTTTAAGATAGAATGAATTGAAGAATGCTGGTCAACGGCTTATACTCCACGACGAGGGGTAACAGGCGTAAGTAAAGTGAAGTAAAATTAAGATATATATTTCAGATGGAAAATTTTAGAGTTACTGTGTTTGTTTGTTTGTTTTTTGATGACCTGAATTCATTCAATTGAATTAAGTCAAGATAATTAACACAATAATCTATGATTACTGTAAGTAGAATGATATATCTCAGGTTGTCAATAATCATGATAGAATGAATAATTTTATTATTATCAGGAGGGCTTTTGTGAATATTATTGTAATTTTAATAGTTGAGATCATGAGTCTATTGAAGTTAGACCACCATGGAAAACCTGGAAGAACTGGACGACCGTTTCATCGTAGTATGATAGTCCTCAGCAGTGTGCATACCCAATCCCGACTCGAGAGATTCGAACCCAGGACCATTAACCATTAGACCACCGTGTTGGCCGGCATCTAACGGTGTTAATGTCTAACTAACTACATCCATCACTGTCTTCAGTGAGTTACTATCTCACAACAGACTAAGTTGAACTCCACTGGACACTGCTTCTCATAATTTTATTGATTTTGGCAAAATGCTGATCTAATCGTATTAGAAATTTCTGAACAGAACATTACGTAACCTTTAAACTGTAGATTTTAAAGTAATAATTAATTGTCAGACTAAATATGTAAATATTATTCTAGATTATATGGTGAAAAGACCAAGAGGTGAGACTAATTTATGGACAACATTCGAGCGACGCTATAGTGACCTCGAGAGTGTACACTTAATAACTAGGTCTAAATGGGGGGATCTTAAACCAGTGTGAGGAATTCGAATTATGAATTATAGTTGTTGGTTAGGGTTAGGAATTGGATATAGGGTTCTCATCACAAACTGAGATTAGTTATAATGGCATAACTCTATTTATCCAAATGAATGAGTGAATTTCGCACCAAAATCTGAGACCTGTTATCTTATACCTGATTGCTTCGTCCATAAATTATAGTCCCAACAGTGATTCTTTCATCCTAGTTGTTTTGATATTCCTGTGAATTAAATTTAATTTGTAAGAGGTTTTATTCATCCTATTATTAATATTCTTGACTGTGCAGCAGATAGTCTTGACATAATCATGTCATAAACTTTGTAGAATAGACTGACTTTAGCTAATATTTGAATCCAGAATTCTTTGTATAGGCATCAACAATAGGATTTGTGTTCATTTAGTTGGGAAATTCCAAAATAGGCGGAATAGTTGTTATGCATTCCACACTGTTAGCTACGATCTATTTATTCTGTACAGTTATTTGAATATTTTACTTCGTATTCGATACAGTGTATATCGTAGTTCATTTTACATGTGAATTGTAAATGGATCACAACAAAGTAGTTTTGTGGTGCGTGCTACTGATATCGATAGATATAAGTAGTATGTATCATCAATCGAAATTGAAATATCTGGTAGCAGAAGGTTAAGAAGATCAAATAAAATAGAACGAGAACCGAGATGGATTAGACTAAGAACGAAGGAACAATGACGTTTATGGACGATTGATTAACATTTTACAAATGAATTACATACTGTATGGTTCACAGATTTTACTAAGATGTATATTCAAAATACATTAGATTGCCCATCATTTGTGTTCATGTTAACTACAGTTTACCATTCATGAAGTTAATTCATAAAACATAGTTTCCCAGTATTTGGGCGTCGAGTTGATGTGAGACATTAAGAACGTCAGTCGTTATGAACCCGAAAAACGTAATGATTTGTACAATTTTTGGTGATGATGATGATGATCATAAAAATGAATTATTGGGTTCTGGATTAAAAGGTATGAGATTTACGGGGACTAGGAAGCAGTTCAGTAGATACTGTTTAAGTGTTTATGTACAAGACGTATCATCAATTAATCAGTTCTTAAAGAAACTAAGTTAATAAGTGACTAGAATAAAATGAAAAGGAACTCAAATGGAAAAAGTATGTAACTAGTGGATTCGTATACATCTCAGAGGAGGAGGAAATCAGGAAGAAGAGCTGGAAGTGGATAGGACACATATTGAGGAAAGCACCCAACTACGTCACAAGGTAAGCCCTCACATGGAATCCTCAAGGCCGAAGGAGGAGAGGAGGACCAAACAACACAATACACTGAGAAATGGAGGCAAATATGAGAAAAATGAACAAGAATTAGATGGAATTAGAAAGGAGGGCCCAAGACAGAGTGGGTTGAAGAATGCTGTTTGACGGCCTATGCTCCATTAGGAGTAACAGGCGTAAGTAAGTAATTAAGGATTCATATAAAGATCATGAGGAAGTTGAAAATCCAGATCATTACAATATAGATTTTGGTTTAAATAAATACAATCAGTACAAAACCTAAGTCTAGAGATTTCTGCAAACTATCTTCAACCATCGAATATCAAAAACAGTGTATACGATGTTGAACCAATTAGACAAGAGATTACATTGTAAAACAATCAATCAATGCTAAGATCTAGACAAACACAATGATCAGTGATCAGAAAATCGATCATATTTACCATTGTTTTACTTTTTTTAGGGAACTGAAGAGAATGTGTTAAACAACAATCGATTATTTTATTCTAATTGTAGTAAGCGAGAATACAAGTGATGGACAACCAAACGTAATTGGACATAGAATTACACAATCTCTTAGTAAAATCTGTGAACCATACAGTAAATACTTCATTGTTTCTTCGTTCTCACACCAATCAACATTCTTTGTTCTTATTTCTCTTTTCTTCGAACTTTTTAACCTTCTGCCACTAGACATTTCAATTTCGATTCATGATACATACTACTTATATTCACTTGATATTGTTTAGCTTGTATCTTCGCATTGAGGTTTAAGACTGCAATTCATTAGTCTGTTATTGGCATATGTGCATACTGTGCGTATGCCTCGATATTGCATTAATTCAAAAGCTTTTTGTAAGCAATGATGGATATTGGCTAGCAGTGGAATCCAGTTTGACACGCGTTTCGTCCTATTTGGGACTCGTCAGGTGGATGTACCTGCATCTCAGAGTTGATGTTCACTCTGGGACTCGAACCCAGTACCATTCGCTTCAAACGTTATCACGTTATCCACTCAGCTACTAAGTCCTAATAACCACTTGCTTGTGCAATGGGGTGAATTTAAATTCACTTGGTATTGTTTGGCTTATATCTTCCCATTGAGGTTTAAGATGCAGGTACATCCAGCTGACGAGTCCCAAATAGGATGAAACGCACGTCCTGGATTCCACTGCTAGCCACTATCCATCATTTCATACTACTTATATCTTTTGATATCAGTAACACATACCACACATTATGAACAAAGTAGTTTTTCAATAAATTCTCATCAGATCCTATGGCTACTCAATATTTAAAGAAAAAACAGGATTATTTTTACCTTTATGAATTTTACGAATACAACCTTCTGTTTGTGTAAATTGATACTCTGGTAAACAATCACATTTATAGGAATTTCTACCAAGATTCAAACATGTACCCCATTCACATTTGTTTAGCACATCATTCCGATTACATGGTGATTGATATTTATATAATTGTGTATTGGAATCTTTCTGTAAATGGTTTATATCTGTGAAATAATATAATAATATAAATAATTAGATAATGGAAAGATAAATAATAAAGAATATGACTTAAGAATCATCGTTAGCCAAGACTTAAAGACTACTGCACACTGCCGTGCAATAGCCGCCAAAGGTTTTAGAACGTTTTGATCAATATGTAGGGCTTTTAGTCATGTCGATGCTAAAACGTTTTTGACTTTGTATACAGTGTTCATGCGTCCTAAACTTGAGTACTTCATACAACCCGTTAGCCTTGGCTTAGTTCATTCTATGATATTCAAATATGATTTATGAAGGTGTATAAGTAGTATATAACTGTTGTTTTTCAAATCACAAACAGTCAACGTTTGTATTCTTGAGACAATTTTACTGTTATAGAAGCTCATGTACAATTGAGTTTGTTTACTTTTAATTTGGTTAAACCCTTTTGTTAACTTTTTTAACGGATAGAGTCATTCGTACAATAACAACTTATCTATACTATCGTACCTTTATTATTGTTGTACTTGTATGAATATGTATGCTTGAGCATTGCTTACTACCTACGCATATATTCATTCTGCTAGCCTTACTGTTAGTCGATGATTCATTTATTTTCCTATATGTATATATGAACATTTTAATCGTGTTCAAGGCCTCTACTCGCTTGCACACTCGCTCATTCGACTCGCTCGCTCTGTTGCTCGGTTTTCAGCATTACTCATTCATGCTTCTTTAGCGTACCTGTAATTTGGGTTATCTATGAGTGGTGCAATCATGAACGCTATCTACACTTCGTATTCGCCTTCTGATTAAAATGTCGGCCAGCTCATTTGTTTAGTGGCTAACCGCTCGCGCACGAGACTGATAGGTACTGAGTTCGAATCTTTCGGGGAGCGGATCATGGATGCGCACTGCTGAGGAATCTCATACTAGAACGAGACGGCTGTCCAGTGTTTCCAGGTTTTCTATGGTGATCTAGCTTTAAAGGACTCATGATTTCAACTATTGAACTTTCTAAAAATCTCCACAAAACCCCTTCTGATAATTGTAGATTTCCTAATATGAATGAGACAAATCTGAACTTGACTAAACTATACATCTTACATGAAACATTTTAATAATTATTCGCTGCTACTGTAAGATGGAGTGTAAGAAAAACTAGATATTTGAGCACATCTTAGCATATATAGTAACGAAAGCGTGACTTTGAGGCATACAGAAAAGTAGTGACAACTAATCAGAAATGGGCAAAGGTCACGTAATAAATTGAGTTGAAAAGAAAGCATTCGCGGTTACCGTTATCCGTAAGACTTTAAGATTATTAACAAAATTTGAGTTATCACATGACCACCTTAGCAACAAATGTCTTACATTTTTTCCATAGTCTTATTTTCCAATACATATGTCAATCGGTCATAATCAACGTAGAACCTGGCACATGTGCACATCGGCTTAAGTTGCCATACCCCATTACTAAATCTCAGAGTAGTAGACATAGTAACAGTATTAACGGTAGCGAAAAAAATCAGGCATCGAAGATTCGATTTGGAAAGGAAAAAAAACATGAGAGATTTATAATCTTAGGATTTGAGAGGGAGACAAAAAATCAGATGCTTCTGCACCATCATAAACCATTTAGACCCATGTCAGCGAAAGCCTTTAACCCTTGATTACCATAATCACATGGACCCCAACCGAGTTGTCTGCACCCATCTACATGTGTTAGCGGGACACAGATTGGATTAAAGCATGCTCAATGTACAATTGTGTTGATGCACGCTGATTGGCTAATTGTTATTTAATCAACGCTAGTCAATACTCAGATTACACTTTAGAATCTTTTCATGTAAAAAACTATAAATATCCTAGCGTTTTTCTTACTGTGCTTCTTACTTCCATCTACCCCTTGTTATTTGGAATATAATCTCTTTCCTGTTCAACCGTGTTCTGATTTGAGGACTTGTCGAGTGAATTGGTGTCCGAGAATACAAAGCAATAGGAATAGCTTGGTTTGCAATAAGAGAGAATTATAACAATACCCAACTTGAATCGGAGTAAATAATCATACCAGGCGAAATTTGTAAAGGAATAGAATTTCACCTTATTGATATCAAGGACTATAATGAAGGAATCATAACTGGCATATATACCTCTTACGCGGGTCGCTTTCATATAACACGTGTTTCAGTATGCTGCGTCCTGTTTCGGAAAAACTTGATGGATGCATTGGTATCTTGATTTTGATTTCAAAAGTGAATGTTGAATACGTGTCATATATAGACAATAATCATATAGTTTAAAGGATAGGGGAATATTTTGGTAGAAAGATTGTGGAAAAACAAAAAAAGACTTCTTTTTTGATTAAACAAATTCTGTTTCAGTCAATGTCGAAGTCCGTTCGACCTTTTATTTAGAAGGTTAGTTACATACATAGAGGGCGAGGATTGGCAAGTCAAGGAAAGAATTTCTATAAATGAGGGACAGATGAGATGTAGAACAACTTTTAATCAATATCAAAATCAGAATCTTTAATACGAACATCAAGACAGTTCTACTGTAAGGAACTGAAATGTGAAGAACTAACACAAACACCAACAAAACGGTCCAAATTTTCATAAACAATTGTCTACGCACGGTACTCAATCTCCGTTGACCGGATACCATCAACAACAGCCTACTATGAAAGAGAACTAACATACTTCCATCTAAGGGGGAAATAAATTTGTAAGTGGATAGGACATACATTGAGGAAATCACCAAACTGCATCATGAGGCATGCCCTAACTTGGAACTGTGAAAAGAGACGAAGAAGAGGGATCTCAACGAACACAGGGCATCGAGAATTGGAAGGAAACATGAAAAGGATTACTTAGAACAGGGTTGGATAGAGAATGTTGGTGAGCGGTTTACGCTCCTCAAGGAGAGGTCGAGGACTAAAGAGAGCTTAGCAGTGACTCGAGATAATAAGTTCTGAACTGATTCTGACTATTGTTTTTTTGTCACATGATATTATTGAATAGTTATAGTCATAACAGCTATATCGCTAATGTCAATAATGATGGTAAATTCATCACCTCAGTCATTGATTTTCCATGTGATAAAAAATCTACGATTTTAACTTATCACTCATGAATACCAGCAGAAGTATTCATGGTAAATCATGAAGAGAGGTATGCTTTTACAACTGATTGATCACTGGGTCGAGTATCACTTGGTCGATAGCATTCGATCTACACTAAGAAGGAATTGATACACATGACATTGATCACCGTCCAGTGATCAATCAATTGTGGTAACATCTCACTCCTAAAGGAGGTCGGCCGAGGCCCGGATAACCCAGTGGTAACGTCTCTGACTGTGAAGCTGGGTGACACGGGATCAAATCTGTCAGGATGCACCAGTTTTCTCAAGATTACAGGTACACCTTGCTGACGAATGCCAAGTACCACGAAACCTGAGTCCAGGGTTTCCTGTTGACTACCTCCAACCACCATCCTACCTCAAGAGGTGTGCCTTGTTTATTAAATATTTTAGAAATAAAAATCTATCATAACTTACAATTATATTGTTTACTGTTTACTGGATGTATAGATTTCCTGATATCTTCAACACTTTCATCATTTTGCAATACATTGTCTGCTCCTTCTATAAAGAAAATTTGAGATGTAAAAGTAATGAGAAATTCAGTAAAGGGCAATAGCTACGAGCAATATAGAATTCTTAAGTATCAATGAAGAGGTAGGAGATAAATAGATTAACATAATCCAGCGTCAATTCGCAATTGACTAGATTTCAAAAGACTAGACTACAGTCCAAATGGTTGAGTATTTGAATATATATATTACTTAAACCTGTTACCCCTCGTGAAGGAGTATACTCCGCTCGCTAGCATTATTCATCCAACTCTGTTCTGGGCAACCCCTTCCAGTTTCTATTCATCCTTTTCATGTCGGCTTTCAATTCTCGACTCAGTGTGTTTGTTGGCTTCCTTTTTTTACGTTTCCTCTCAGAATTCCAAGTTAGCGCTTACCTTGTCATGCAGTTTGACGATCTCCTCAATGTGTGTCCTATCTAATTCCAACGTTATTTCTTAATTTCCTCTTCAGTTGGAAGTTGGTTTGTTCTCTCCCACCATAGGCTGTTGCTGATGGTATCCGGCCAACATATATATATTACAAGATTAAAACTGTCATTTGGTACAAAGTATTCAAAACAGGATCGTGTATTTATTCTTTTTTTTGGAGGACTGACAATTAATCCTACAATTAAATTTTTCTAACACTAAACCAAATATGCTGATGTCTTTTTTTGGTAATAAGCCTTTACCAATTTTCACCATAGGGTTATGGAGATTATTAAGTTATTGATTGAGATCTTGAACCGATTGATGTTAGACCACCATTAACTTGTAAAATAGTACAGTTCAGTGAAATATTGGTGTCTATAGTTGAACGAAAGTTCATCTTCAAAGTAACCAAGTTCATACAACCTTCAATTGAACGACTGATTAGGTGTAACAGATAGATCTGTTGTAGTTGTAACATTGCTTTATTCAATCTAAACTCAATGACCGATCAATTTAAATCGAGAAATGTGCTGTATCTATGACTATACGATAGACGTTTATTTGAGAAATAGTTATATTGTACAATCATGAAATGTGTGGTAGGTGCCTTCTGATACTTTATACAGTAGGTTATCTACCAACTATACTCTGTCATTCAAGTAGTAAACTGAAATGTCATTCTATAAAAGACTAGTCATATACACACTATACTTTGATCCTTGACTTTACTGGCAAGATGGGTAACTAAACACTATGTCCTTTTAGATTACCCACTCTACAAACTGTTTATATTAAGAACAACAATCATGCATTCACTAATGATGTACTTCAATCAGTCCTACTGAGTATCAATAATTGATAAAGTTCATACTAAGTTGAAAAATATACCTGGTTTTCAGTGACTAACTTGTCAAAGTACGTCAGTATTCCAAATTTTAAAAAAAGAATAATAACGAACATTCTAGGTTATTAACGACAAAATAGAAGTAATTCCAGAAGTAGACCACCACGGGAAACCTGGAAGAACTGGACGACCGTTTCGTTCTCGTATTAGACTTCTCAGCTGGACATAACTGCATCTCCGAGTTAATGTTCACTTTGTGACTCGAACCCAGTACCGTTAGGTTCAAACGCCATCACGTTATCCACTTCACTACTAAGTTCCGATAAGTACTTGCTTGTACAATGAGGTGAAGTTTAAATTCACTTGATATTATTTACTTGAATCTTCTCATTGATGTTAACGACGGCATACTGGGTGTATTGCATCGATACTACCTTCAGTCACAAGGATTATAAGCAAAGACCGATAGTGGCTAATAGTGAAATTCAGTTTGATGCGCGTTTCGTCCTACGTTCGACTCGTCAACTGAATGTGTGCTTATAATACTTGTGAATCAAGAATATATCGACGCAATACATACAGTATGCATATATAACCAATAAGAGGCTGTTTTTAATTGTAGTCTTAAACATCAAAGGGAAAATTCTAACAAGCAATACCAAATGAGTTTTCTAGATAAGTAATTCATTCATTTAACATGATTTCATATTTATATGATGATCGGTATTATTGGTTATATAAGATGAACAAACATAATCGCATTCACAAAATTACATGGACTTCACCAGATCACACTACGATAAGAGTGGTATATCAGTTTAATATTAGTTTGTGATATAAATTAACTAGCTGCACAAACTATTTAAAGGTAAGTCTTTGGATACTTATAAACAACTTTAAAATAAAAACCTTGAAGTCATATGCAACTAATTGATTGTGGAGTTTTTAATTCCGAGAGAACAAACCAGATCCCAACAGAGGAAGAAATTAGGAAGAAGAGCTGGAAGTGGATAGGACACACAGATTGAGGAAACCACCCAACCGCGTCATAAGACAAGCCTTCACATAGAATCCTCAAAGACAAAGGAGGTGAAGAGGAAGACCACAGAACACATTACATCGGTAAATAAAGATAGACATGAGAAAAATGAACAAAAATTGAATAGAACTGGAAAGGAATATTTATGACAGAGTGTGTTGGAGAATGCTGTTCAGCGGCCTATGCTCCATTAGAAGCAACAGGTGTAATTAACTAAGATAAACAAGGAGGATCAGATGCAGACGTAAAGATGACAATTAACAAAAAAAGGAAAGCATTGCTACAATTAAAGAACATATGAAAGTTACAACAACTACTTATCAACCAATATCAAAATCACAATGTTCTATACGAACATCAAGATAGTTCTACTATACAAAGTTGAAACTTGGAAAAATGATGATCGGTATTATATAAGATAAATTGTGAATGTGTATCATGTCACAATCTTGTAAGGTATGTAGGGATATATGTAGGGAGGTTTCTTATTTCTTTTTCATTTAGATGATATGTCAAATCATTGAAATATTCTGTCATATTACATAGAAGATCATTCGACAGAATATGTGTCTAATCAAGTACACTTCTAATTGTCTGTAAATGATTCTATGTACATCTACTTTTTCCTTCTTTTTCAAATTTCAGTTATGTATCACCTTAGTTGATGTTAAATCTTGTAACTTCACTGTACATGAAATGTAGTTTTACATAGAAAGGTTTTCTTTCTTTACTTTTTTCTAATTTTGTCTAAAAATATAATCTGTGTGCTAATGTTTTGTTTCATTAGTAAGATTCAATATTAAATAGATAAGAAAAAAACTAAGATCCTCAACTACAACATGGAGAATACCAAAACAATCACACTTGATGAAGAAACTGTTGAAGAGGTGGAATCTTTTTCATGTATCTGAGTAGCATCATCGATTAGTATGGTGGATCTGATGTAGATGTGAAAGCATAAATTGTCAAAGCAAGAGCAGCATACTTACAACTGAACAATATCTGGAACTCAAAACAATTGTCTGTCAACCAACAACAAAGTCAGAATTTTCGATACATATGTCAAAACAGTTATACTGTATCGGGCAGAAACTTGGAAAACTACCACAACCATCATCCAGAAGATATTGGTGTTTAATAACAGTTATCTATGCAGAATAATTCGGATCCATTGATCAGAGACTATAAGCAACAACCTACTGTGAGAAAGAACAAACCGAATTCCAGCGAAGGAAGAAATTAGGAAGAAGTGCTGAAAGTGGATAAGACACACACTGAGGAAAGCACTCAACTGCATAACAAGTCAAGTCCTCATTTGGAATTGTGAAGGACAAAGAAGGAGAAGAAGACCAAATAACGCATTACGCCGAGAAATGGAGATAGACATGAGAAGAATAAACAGAAATTGCGTAGAACTAGAAAGAATGGCCGAGGACAGAATGGATTGGAGAATGCTAGTTGGCGGCCTATGATCCATTGGAAGTAACAGGCTTAAATAAGTAAGTAAGTAAGTAAATCTTCTGTTATACCAGTTTTTGTGTTTTTACTTTCACATCAAAGGAATTGCATTGGTTCCTCACTTTACAAGTATAAGTAATAATTAACTATTCCGATATAACAATCAACGAGATATATGATTTATATTTTAAAATGAATAGATATTTATTCGAAGAGGTTTTGTAGAGATTTTTAGAAATTTCACTGATTGTGCGAGACTGATAGGTCTTGGGTTCGAATCTCGCAGGGTGTGGAATCACGGATGCACACTGTTGAGGAGTCCCATGCTAGGACGAAACGGTCGTCCAGTTCTTTCAGGTTTTCCATGGTAGTCTACTTTCAATTGACTCATGATTTCAATCAGTAAGATATTTATTCATTACTTCTACCAACATTTAGATTTAAGTTACATTATGTAAGAATTCAGAATGAATAATTTTTTATCATTTCAAAGGAAACAGTATCATCATGTATCGGCTTTGCTTCGTTCTGCTTCGGTTTGGTTCGGTTTTTTTTCTAGTATCTAAATTGAATATAACACTTAAACGTTTCCCAACATTCATCTCCATTGACGTTAGTTACAGAAAAGAAAGAAAAAAAAAAGCAAAAAAAAACAAATTATTCATTCAATCTGTTTTAAATGTATTTGTTGCTTGGTACATTTTCTGTTCCCATCTGTATAACACTCAACTGAATGTTTCCTTTATCACAATTTGAAAGGTTTGTAATCTTGGTATATTTTGTAAATGATCCATATTTGAATATACATTTATTATCCTATGGTTTTTATCGCTTATCTGAAAAGATAAGAAATGAAATGTTGTATATACATTTGGTATTGCTTAATAGTCTCTTACCATTGTTGTTTTAGGACTGTAATTGATCAATCTCTTGTTGGTATATGTACTTTCAGTGTGTGGATTACATCGATATTGTCTTAAGTCACAAGCTTTATAAGCAAAGATAATTACTTACTTACTTAGGCCTGTTACTCACAATGGAGCATAGGCCACTGACCAGCATTCTTCAACCCACTCTGTCCTGGGCCTTCCTTTCTAATTCTAACCAATTCTTGTTCATTTTTCTCATGTCTATCTCCATTTCCCGGCGTAATGTGTTCTTCGGTCTTCCTCTTCATCTCCTTTGTCCTTGAGGATTCTATGTGAGGGCTTGTCTTGTGACGCAGTTGGGTGGTTTCATCAATGTGTGTGTCCTATCCACTTCCAGCTCTTCTTCCTAATTTCTTCCTCTGTTGGGATCTGGTTTGTTCTTTTACACAATTGGTTATTGCTAATAGTTTCCGGCCAACGGATCCGAAGTATTTTGCGTAGAGAACTGTTAATAAACACTTGTACCTTCGGGATGATGGTTGTGGTAGTTTTCCAAGTTTCAGCTCCGTACAGTTGAACTATCTTGATATTTGTATTGAAAATTATAACTTTAGTGTTGATTGACAACTGTTTTGAGTTCCAGATATTGTTCAGTTGTAAATATGCTGCTCTTGCTTTACCCACCATGTTCATCATTGATGCTGCCCGAATATGTAAAGGTTTTTACATCATCCAAATCGTCTCCGTCAATTGTGACTGGATTGCTGCATGCTGTGTTGCATTGGAGAATCTTGCCTTTCCCTTTGTGTATATTGAGACCTACTGCTGCTGAGGCTGCTGCTACACTGGTCGTTTTCTCCTGCATTTGTTGTTGCGTTTGGGATAGAAGGGCTAGATCATCTACGAAGTATAGATCATCCAGATTGACGTACGTTTCGTCTTATTTGGGATTTGCCAACTGGATATTACCTTCATCTCAGAGTTGATGCTAAATGGATTATGCGATAGCGTTTCAATCGAATGGTACTGGGTTCGAGTCCTGGAGTGAGCATCAACTCTTGGATGCAGATATATTCAGCTGACGAGTCTTAAGTAAGAAGAAATGTGCGTTCTGAATTCCACTACTAGCCACCATCCATCTTTGTTTATAATGAAATCTTGTGTTAAGTCGTTTTCTATTTTGCTCTTAATACACGATCATGTGTAAATTTGTGTTCTAACTAATCCGTTATGTCAAACTATATAGCAGTTGGTGAATAGAAAATATAGACAGAGGACATCACATTTACAATATGTGCAACAGTGAAAACAGTATATCCACCCATATATTTGAAAGCTACTTACATACTTACTTACGCCTGTTACTCCTCATGGAGGAGCATAGGCCACCCACCAACACACTGCATCCAACCCTATTCTGGTTAATCGTTTCCAGCTCTTATTCGTCCTTTTCACATCTGATTCCCTTTCCCGACGTAATGTGTTCTTTGGCCTTCCACTTTTCCACTTTTCAGTTGGAAGTTGGTTTGTTCTCTCCCACAGTAGGCTGTTGCTAATAGTATCCGGCCAACGGATATTGAGTACTTTGAGTAGACAACTATTTATAAATACTTGTATCTTCTTCAAGACGATTGTAGTAGTTCTCCTTGTTTCAGCTCGATACTTTGATGTTGGTTGAAAGTTGTTGTTGACAGTGCCATATGTTCTTCAATGCCAATCCTCGCATTTACGTCTGCATCCCATCCTCCTTGTTCATCGATGATTCTGTCTAGGTATGTGAAATATTCTACATCTTCCAGAGTTTCGCCATCAAGTGTAATTGGACTGGTGTTCTCCATGTTGTATTCGAGGATCATGAGTTTTCCTTTGTGTATGTCGAAACCTACTGATGCAGAGGCTGATACTACACTAGTTGTCTATTTGAAAGCTAACTTACAACTATTTACAGTTATTTAGCACTACACGGTCTGCTTAGTAATGGAGTGAGGTTATACTAACTGTGGGTTGTTGACTAGAAAAATTACTTACATTATGTATTAGCCATTAACTTGTATTAAGTATAAGAAATAATGTTACTAGCCGTTTGGCTAAGGTGAAATATGTGGAGAGGAGTTTAAATCTAAGACTTTACGGCTGAAATCAAAAGCCTTAACCATTAGATCATAACTTCACCATGTACAACAATAAGTGCATCTTTGAAAGTGGTAATTTTACAATACCTTGCATGAGAACTAGACAAACCAGGCTTTTTAAAATCTGAAAAGCATAATCCTGTGAAGTAATCACACAGGTATCAAGAACTCTGATGAATCAGATTAGAAATATTATAAATAGCTACAAACCTTTATGTTTTACACAGGCACGCCCTCCATTGATTGCTACATATCCAGGCAGACATTCACAAATATATCCATCACCACCAAGATTTAAACAAATTCCTCCATTGCATTTCTTTACAATATCATCTTGACCACATGGTGTTGATCGAAGACTTGTTCCGCGTAAATGCAATAGATTAGGTTTTTTATATAATACATCTGATGAATCTTGTTGTTTATCTAAGAGAATAAATTGAAAAAGGTATTTTGTTTAAGAGTGAGAACAAAATTTTACAAACTACAAATGGTTTTCAGTCAATCAGTCAGTCAGTAACAACGTAGATCTTTGTACGTACGTACATCAGTTCAAGTTGCCATAGCACATTAACACAGAGATACAATTGTCGATTCAAAGTATAAGCAGTAATCAGAAAGATTAGGGCTTGAAGATGTTATTCAAGGCGTATAATCCAGGGATATGAAGAATTCAGAAGATTACAATTTTGGGAGAACACAAAGAGTGGATGCACCTGCGCCATCTCAAACGATTTTGAGCCATGTTATTCAAGGTCTCTAACCATCGATTGCTATCGTTTCGCCGGTCCTAACCTACACCTATCAACATGGCTCAGTTCACGTGTCAGTGACTTCATAGATTTGTGCCATGTTTTATTTTGGCCACCCCTAGCTTTTTTCCAACTTACTCCCACACCAGAAAACATAGCATGTCGGGGCATTCGGTGGTTGGGCATACGTAACACGTGTCCCAACCATCTCATACGATGACGTCTCACTACTTCATCAATCGATTCGCCATCATTACCTAGTACCCGTTTCCTAACAACTGCATTACCTAATCGATCGTTCCAGGATATACGAGTAAGTAATGCAGTGGTTTTAGTGAATCTAAGAACTATTCAACTTTTAATAAGTATTCATTTATATCTGAAATAGATTAAAAAGTGAAAAATTAAATATAATTATGGTTACTATATGAGTGCGCTTTAATAATAAACCCCCCAAATGAAATGATCCTATAATAGAGAAATAGAACAGATCGCAAAATCAGTAAGTAGTGTTTTTTAAAATGAACAACAATGCAGTTTGATCAGAATTATGACCGAGGAAGATTTCTATCATTTAATGGGATTCATTTCACTTCTATGAAGGATGTCGTGAAAAACGATATCAAGGACGATACTTGATAACGTCTAAGGTAACACAATCAAACGATTTTCAAGACCCCAATCGGGAAATTATGACGGGTAAATAAGCGTCAATCTTAAAATGTGTATCCTTTTTATTGCTAACTGATTAGATATACTGTGAGTCGTCTCACAGAAACATATCATCATCCACTTGCTAGTTTTCATAAATTCTGCCTTCATTATTGGAAACGCGACATTACCATGTACTCCTTATATCTAGAGCTTAGATTCTTGATATACCGCGTATAACTTGAGCACTAAAACTCTAGAACATTTTCACGTTGCAAATGAGAAGTTAGAAGACAAGTGAAAGGAATGCTATCCCAAACAGTGTCATTTACAGTACACAACTGTCAGGTATAGTTTTTTTCGTAAAAACGAAATCATCATTATAGTCATCCAATCCGCATACAAGGGCTTATTAGCATTTGTCCAATAGGGAAGCTCCACGTTGAGATTCTGAAATGTTCCTCCAGAAGATGATTGGATGGAATATCTTCGGCTCTCTCTGAGCTTCCTCGAGTTCACCCGTGGATCGTCATCACAATACTTCATTCAGAGCTGCTTCCAGGATGTTATCAGTTAAAAGAAATAGAAATCCAATATATTTGTGAAATATTAACAGAGCTTTCAAGATGTTTGTAACCTTTTCTGACATATAATTCCATAATAAAGCATCCTAAATTACAGTCATGCTCTCGAATAGAAGACGGTTCTGAGATCAAGAAATACGATGATTTTATAAGTACCAATGCTATGATTTGACTTGATAATTTCAAATAAATTGAGCATTGGGTATAAAGTTAATATTTTTCTGTTATATCTCAATGAGTAGAGAGATTGTATTTCTGACAACGTTTCGTAACTTCGAGTAAGTCACTTCTTCAGAATAAATCAATAATCGATATTAAATGAACGCAAGTTTAAATATATTTATTATTTAGTATGATGATTGTTTTATTTTTTTAAGAGTAAAGGAGGATCAAGTCGACATAAACAAACAGTGAATAGACCAATCTGTAATATCAGTTGCTATTATTAAGCCTACATAGTTTATTCTATGTCTGTAGATTACTTTTGTGTAACTATAAACATTGATTAATGTTTGATTAAACGGAGTTGGCTCACATACTTTCTCCACTGAGCATCCTTTCGTTTCGCTTCGCTCTCTCATCTTCTCTTCCTTCGCTGCGGTTCTCTGACTGTCTGTTCCAATCAACGAGTGTACAAAATATACATATTCAAACATTCATTCTCGTAGTTGACTTATTTAATTTCCTTATTCACTAACTCGAGTTAAGTCGACAATTTTACACGAGAATTGACGATGTATATATATATATATATATATATATATATAATCATTAATAATCATTCATACGATCTAATTGGAGTCGGAGCCCAAGCCACTAAATTGGTGAGCCCATCGATAGCATCGTGCTATCTGATTGACTTCAAAATGAAGGGCCCCACTAAAGTTCTATTCCAAACAATCGCCAAATAAATCATTTCTACATTAATAAATTTATAAATCTAAACAGTATTAACAATAACCACATAGTGTTGAAAATCTACACCTCTACACGTGATGATCATATTTTAGGTTAGTTTATTTTGAAGTGCTTGAATATAATCCACTTAAATATAGAATTAAACAATGACATCACTACTAAACAATGATAAACTCAGAGTGAACATCAACTCTGAGATACCGTTACATCCAGCTGACGAGTCCCAAATAGGACGAAACGCTAGCCACTATCTATCTTTGCTTAATCTGCATTTAAGTATGTAACATTCAATGTGACTTTTAACTGAATCTATTCATGTCAAGTGTATACATCCATGTAAATATTCACATTTGATAAGAACAGATATCTTGATTACTCTCATTAGCAAAATGTTATTATTGTTATCATCATCATCATCATCATCATCATCATCATCATCATCATCATCATCATCATCATCATCATCATCATCATCATCATCATCATCATCATCATCATCATCATCATCATCATCATCATCATCATCATCATCATCATCATCATCATCATCATCATCATCATCATCATCATCATCATCATCATCATCATCATCATCATCATCATCATCATCATCATCATCATCATCATCATCATCATCATCATCATCATCATCATCATCATCATCATCATCATCATCATCATCATCATCATCATCATCATCATCATCATCATCATCATCATCATCATCATCATCATCATCATCATCATCATCATCATCATCATCATCATCATCATCATCATCATCATCATCATCATCATCATCATCATCATCATCATCATCATCATCATCATCATCATCATCATCATCATCATCATCATCATCATCATCATCATCATCATCATCATCATCATCATCATCATCATCATCATCATCATCATCATCATCATCATCATCATCATCATCATCATCATCATCATCATCATCATCATCATCATCATCATCATCATCATCATCATCATCATCATCATCATCATCATCATCATCATCATCATCATCATCATCATCATCATCATCATCATCATCATCATCATCATCATCATCATCATCATCATCATCATCATCATCATCATCATCATCATCATCATCATCATCATCATCATCATCATCATCATCATCATCATCATCATCATCATCATCATCATCATCATCATCATCATCATCATCATCATCATCATCATCATCATCATCATCATCATCATCATCATCATCATCATCATCATCATCATCATCATCATCATCATCATCATCATCATCATCATCATCATCATCATCATCATCATCATCATCATCATCATCATCATCATCATCATCATCATCATCATCATCATCATCATCATCATCATCATCATCATCATCATCATCATCATCATCATCATCATCATCATCATCATCATCATCATCATCATCATCATCATCATCATCATCATCATCATCATCATCATCATCATCATCATCATCATCATCATCATCATCATCATCATCATCATCATCATCATCATCATCATCATCATCATCATCATCATCATCATCATCATCATCATCATCATCATCATCATCATCATCATCATCATCATCATCATCATCATCATCATCATCATCATCATCATCATCATCATCATCATCATCATCATCATCATCATCATCATCATCATCATCATCATCATCATCATCATCATCATCATCATCATCATCATCATCATCATCATCATCATCATCATCATCATCATCATCATCATCATCATCATCATCATCATCATCATCATCATCATCATCATCATCATCATCATCATCATCATCATCATCATCATCATCATCATCATCATCATCATCATCATCATCATCATCATCATCATCATCATCATCATCATCATCATCATCATCATCATCATCATCATCATCATCATCATCATCATCATCATCATCATCATCATCATCATCATCATCATCATCATCATCATCATCATCATCATCATCATCATCATCATCATCATCATCATCATCATCATCATCATCATCATCATCATCATCATCATCATCATCATCATCATCATCATCATCATCATCATCATCATCATCATCATCATCATCATCATCATCATCATCATCATCATCATCATCATCATCATCATCATCATCATCATCATCATCATCATCATCATCATCATCATCATCATCATCATCATCATCATCATCATCATCATCATCATCATCATCATCATCATCATCATCATCATCATCATCATCATCATCATCATCATCATCATCATCATCATCATCATCATCATCATCATCATCATCATCATCATCATCATCATCATCATCATCATCATCATCATCATCATCATCATCATCATCATCATCATCATCATCATCATCATCATCATCATCATCATCATCATCATCATCATCATCATCATCATCATCATCATCATCATCATCATCATCATCATCATCATCATCATCATCATCATCATCATCATC